CTAATACGTGTGGGACCGAATTTGTCTCCAATTGTGGGGTCATATATACATTGTAAAAAGTCCTAGTGTCGGTGTGCCCTTCGTCTGGAGTGAGCTTCCTCTGTAGACATAGGGATTCAGAATGAAGGTGTCAAAATTCTATTGAGGATTTTCTACTGAGCTGATTCCAGTTGAATGGAGCCCAAGTGGATAGGTTGAGCTGAGGAGGAGGTGCAGAAACTAACACACAGATAGGTGCGGGCGTGTATCGCGGTAATTGCATATATGTCTTTTCTTTTCTTTTCTTTTATACATACAAACAAAGGAATCACTGTAATTGCGTATACATCTTTTCTTTTCTTTGTTTTTTTTTTTTCAAGTTGGACCATTTCTTGATGTTTGCGTGTCACCCTTGTGCAGGGGCCATGCTAATCTTCTCTGCATATTTTGTGAATTCTTTGTGCACAGAATGCCCTGGTATAACTGACCATATGACCCTGGCACGCCATCCTCAACCCTAAACCCTCAGTGCTGGACTTGAAAGCTTGAAACTGAACCTGGCATTCGGATATGTATACCCTGCATGCTGAACCCTGGTGTAGGGTTTGGTTCATACATTTGAGGTTTTTAGGCCCTTTAGGGGGATTTACCATTTAGAGTTAAAGGTGATGCAAAACCCTGAACTATAAAACCTGACACTAAACCTGAAACTGGGAACCATGCAACGTGAACCCTGAACACCCGACGCTCGATCTTGGCCCTGCCAACCCAAAACACCTAAAACCCTAAAACCCTAAACCCTAAAATTGTGAGACCCTCAACCCTGAACTCTAAACCCTAAATCCCAAACCCGAACCCAAATCCGTAACCCTGGACTCCTGGCACTTAACCCTAAACCCCAAGCCCTAAACCCCAAACCCTAAACCCCAAACCCTAAACCTTAAACCCTAAACCCTGAACTACAAATTTTAAGCCTTGAGCATCCTGAATCTCATAAATCATGGGCTCTCAAGCTGAAACATGGAATGTTGAACCTCAACCCCCCTATACCCAAAAACCCCAGCTATGACACTGGGACAGCACTGCACTGTTTTATAACTTTTATTATATATGACACTGGGATGGCACTGCACTAAAGTGGTTGCTTTTTCTTCAAAAATGAGGCTGGATGTCGCGTTGTATGATAGGAACCGAAAGGCGCTGCTGAATGGTACACAGCTAGACTTTTTGATCCATAGGTAGGTTAGGAGTTTGAACTCACTTCCTGAAAGCTAATCCAATATCTTTCACCCCTGTTAGCAGCAAGCTATGATGGTGTGTGAACCATTGCTTTCAGCCTTTCTCAATTGTGAGCTGGATGTTTTTTTTTTTTTGTTTTCAAGTTCTTTGTGGCAAACAAATGTCCATTTTTCAGTGCCAAATAAATGGCCAAACTACCTTCCAGTTCAAATTCAATTGCCGACGAAACGGTGTGAAGATTGATGATACTCTTATCTCTTTGCCTACCCTCCAGCTAGCCGGGTAGGGAATCAGTGTTTTCTCCTTTTTTTTTTTTTTTTTTCCGAACGTTCAGGTTGTTGTAGAGGTCGAATTCACACTGGGAAGGTGGCTGAGGACTGAGCCATTTGGTTGTCCCAGCGGTTCGCCATGCCCTTGGTCTATCTCTACAAACTACAACTTTTCTTTATCTAACCATTACCCTATGACAAGTTGTAGTCTTCCAGCGCCTACTGGCTATTACAGGGATCCGATTTCAGTCCGTACTGATTTTGGTTCCCAGTGGATGCTATCTTAGACCTACTCCAGCCAGTTTCACTACCTCCGGTACTTGTAGAACTGCAACTGATCCCCCTTCTATTAGGTGTACGTAGTAAAAAACTCCCCCCCACATCATACACTATCTTATACCCATTACTCTCAGACAACCAGTACACCTGGGCCTGGAGGCGCTGCAAAGCGCGCTAAGCTTTGCCAACTGCCAGCGGTGCACTTCTTTTCTTTTTCCGCTGGCGCCGCCAGCCATTGTGGTCCCATCGGCCTGAGCTGCAAAACTTTCGGAGTAGGTGATGAACGGATTTCTACAAGGCTGGGGCCGTGTACTGGCGGTTTGAGTAGGTGATTGACTACTACCCCTATTAGATCCTCTATGGGTATCGGTATCGTCTCTACAAATCGCCTCTACACTTCACCTACTTTCAGAACCCCTAGACCGGTCCCCCTCTATGTGACAGATTGTACACAGATCCTTTTATTACCAGTTTTCCCTTCTCTGAGATTTTTTTTATTTTTTATTTTTAAAGCGTTTTCATGGGCATTACCTTCAGCCTCTCCTGATTTTTTTTCCATAACGTCACAGAAAAGGGAGGACTGAATAATATCGTAATAGTTGTGTACGCCTGATTTTCATCAAGATTAGAACTCATGATCAGTTCTTTATACCACCATTTACTTCGCCCAGCTATTGATGCCGAGCCTGGCAACCCTCTGCGCGCCAAGTTTTGCCGAACCGCCAGGGCGCCGTTTCATTTTCTTTTTGGTGGGCGCTTCCAGCCATTGTGGTCCGGTACCCCGAAGCCCGTAGGTTGCGGCGCGTTGATGTGAAACGCCCGCAGCCGAT